GGACTGGCCAGGAGAGCCAAGGGGACACCAGGGGCCCTGGGGCAGGCAAGGGCTAGGCTGACGGCAGGTGCCAGTACAGGGCTCCACCTAAGGCCCAAAGAGACACTGGCAGAGGCCAAGGGGAATCCGCCTGCCACCGCAAGCTCAGGTCCCTGGGTGGGATTCAAGAGCCTCCTCACCAGGGCTGTGATCTGTGGAAGGGCTTGGGGACAAGAAGGGACTGAGGCCCACTGGGGAATTTAGACCCAAAGGGATGGCATGGGAACCAGGGGCCGCGAGGCGGCAAGGCCAGCACCTCCCCATCACTCGGGATGATGCCACTCATTCGCCTTGCTCACCTCCCCCATTTTTCAGTGGACTGCAGATGAAGGAAGGAAGGACAGCACAGCTACTACAACTCTTCACTGCCACTGCCATGAAGAACTACTGTGCCAGGTAAAGACTAGTAATCAAACCCCCCACAGGAGGGGAGGTGGTCGGCAGCAGACCTCAGCTCAGCCAAGAGCCAAAGGCCCCCTTGTCTGTGCACGTGGGCAGGCAACACACACGGCAAACAGCGGCCTCACTCGGAAGGGATTCTCTTCATCCTCACCATTTTTCCCAGTTTCCACACTGCTCACAACGAGCATTTATCAACCCGAAAACGGAATGGCGAGACAAGGTAAGTTAAGGAGAAGAACCAAACCACAAGCAAAGCCAAGCAAAACGAGTATTTATTCCATCTCCAAATTAGGGGGGGGGGTGTCTCCATGTTTAACAGGAAAGCACTGGGAAGAAAAGTCACAGGGGAAAAGGGCAATTCAATGGGCTTGATGACTGTAAAAAGCAAAACCCATCACCACAATTAAAAGGCAGATGTGCACAGCTGGAAATGCATATGCCCAATAGTCACATGGAGAGAATGGTCAAGGTCACTCATCAGCAGGGCGTTAGAGTAAAACAGAAACACCACTTTCACCTAATAGTGTAGGGTGGGGCTGGGTTATTTTACACTTTCATGTGTATACTTGGCTGCTTTATGTTTCAGTGGGACCCCCCTCCGGTAGGAGGCACATGGGGAGAGGAGCAAAATGGAGGTGGTATTGACAACCGGGCACTGAGAGCATATCCCGAGGAGACGCTGTGAAACACAGAAAAACAGCGTGTCCCCAAAGCTGTCCATCGCAGCAGCATTTCCAAGACTGGGAAGTGGTCAGGAACTTCAATTTCCAATAATCAGAAGATTAAGTAAATGACGGTAAAGCTATACAATTGAATAAAGTTATCTTTACAAAAGTCCATTATAACCACAGATAATACTTGTGAACAAAATAAGAATATGAAATTGCATGACAGAGGACAGCATGGTGGTCACAATGTGAAAAATTCACACCGACAACACACAGGGTAATCATCTTGGTTAAACATTTATGTGGCGTTTTTCACATTTTACCCCTTTTGTGTTTTCCAAATTTTCCAAAATCAATACATCCATTTTACATTCAGGAAAACAGTTCTCTTTTTAAGTCAGGTGAACACAGGTTTTGTCAAAATGCTCACTTCATCCCACGAGACAGTCTAGCTAGTCACAAAAACTCTAGCCTCTTGGCCATGAGGGAGCAGGAGCTGGGTTGTGAAAATGGTTATGAATGAATTGGTGAAGCGAGGAGGGGGGTGGACAAGCTAGGAACTTGGGGGGGGAGGGATTTGCAAGGGCAAGTAGGGACCAGTGGTGAGCTGGTCGCCTAGGAAAGGGGCATTGTGGGATAAAGGGAAGACTCGGACTGCTCTGCGGAGGTCATCTAGACCCAGAAGTAGGCACTGACGGTGTTCTCAAAGGGGAAATTAAAGAGGGATTCTAGGAAGACACATGGATTCCTTCAGGAACAAGGGAGGAGAGAGGAAGGGCGGTAAACTACCTGGAGAGAAGGGGAGAGGGGTGGGACAATGGAATGGCAGTGAAGAGGAAGAGGCCAGCTGCCGCAGTGACACTCCTTACTCCACATTTAAACCAAGCATACGTCACTCACTTCTGGACTCAGCTCTGGGGACAAACACAGGGAAGATAAACAGCTCACAGGAGGAACTGGCCAATAGCCAGGCGGACTCAGCTCAAAACCAGCCATCGTCCAGGCCAACTCTGTTCAATAGCATGTAAATGTTCTAGATGTATGCTGTCCAACAAGGGGCCACTAGCTACGTGTGATGAATGAGCGCTTGAACTGTGCCAAGTGCAACTGACAGCTGCTCTTTAAACTTGCATTTAATTTGAATTCACTGAAATTTAAATTTATGTCTTCAACAAATGGTGCTGGAACAACCAGATCTCTACATGTAAGAGTGAAACTGTACCCCTACCTCACACCATACATGAAAATTAACTTAAAATGGATCAATGTCTAAATATGAGAACTAAAATCCTTAAATAAAAGAAACCGTAAACAGAAGAAAATATAGAGCAAACCTTAGTGACACTAGTTAAACAACACGTTTTTAGATATGACACCAAAAGCACAACTGACAAAAGGAAAAATGAGATAAACTAGGATTCATCACAATGAAAGCTTCTGTGCATCAAAGGATGTCATCAAGAAAGTGAAAGGCAATGTACGGAATGGGAAAACAAATTTTATCAGAGAAAAAACAACCCAATTAAAACACAGGCAAAGGACTGAACTAGACATTTCTTTAAAGAAGATATACAGGTGGTCAATGAGCACGTGACAACAGATACTCAACATCATGAGATACCAAGAAAATGTGGATCCAAGCCATAATGTGTTACCACTTCACACCCTGTAGGATAGCGGTTATCTCACACACACACACACACACACACACACAGAGACCATGGAGAAATCAGAACCCTCATCCACTGCTGGAGGGGATGTATAATGGTGCAGGTGCTGTGGGAAGCACTCGGGCAGTTCCTAAAAAAGTTAAACATAGAATTACCATATGACCCAGCTACTCCACTCCTAGGTATAACTCCAAAAGAACTGGAAGCAGAGACTCAAAAGCAATCCATGTATACCAGTGTTCGTTCCAGCATTATTCACAATAGCAAAAAGGTGGAAACAACCCAAATGCCCGTCAGCAGATGAACTGCTAAACACACTGTGGTCCAGCTACCAAGAGAAGGAAGTTCTGGTCCACGCTACGACATGATGCACCTTGCAAACACATGCTTAGTGAAAGCAGACCAACATCGCATGAAGCCACACATACAGACAAAAGAGAATCAGCGATTAGCAGGGGTTGGGGGAAGGAGGCAACGAGGAGAAAAAAATGATTTCAGGAGCCACGTGTTCCTAGTGGCTCCTGGATCAGACAGCACAGACCTAGGGCAGTGTTTCCAAACTGCGACCCTGGGACCAATAGCATCACCTTGGAGTTTATAACAAATGCAAATTCTCAGGCCTCAGTCCAGCCCTGCTGAGTCAGAACTTCTGTGGGCGGGCCCAGCACTCAGGGCCTACCAAGCCTTCCAGGTGGCTCGGGGTGCACCCTCATGTCTGTGCACCACTGAGCCTCATTCAAAGTTTCTGGGACCACTCAGGTGTCACCTAAACTGAGCAAGCCCCTACTCAAATGAGATGGTGATTTCTATTTCCACAAATACAGTGGCTAGAGAGTCATGAGTAAAAGCTGTCCAGTTCAGCAGGACTGAAAGTTGCGTACGTGAAGCAACGAAGATGAGGACTGTCTGAACATCTGAAAGCGGCCGGCTGCTCATCCCCATGTATGGCAGGGTCAGGCAAAGGGACACAAAGGGCAGCTCTCACTTGGGTTTCGTGTCAACACCACAAAAAGTAACCACAACTCATGAGACGGTCTAGAAGCATGCCACAGAACGGAAATGCAGCTTCACCTCTCAACGGAGGTGTGTGAGGCAGGCCAAGGAAAGGAGAGGCCAGGGAGGGCTGAGGCCTTTGGGGCTGCACCCTCCCACAGCACTTCCAGCAGAGACAGATGGGCACACGAGGGGCCCAAGTAACATGGTGAGCGAGAAGATGGGGGAGAGCTTATCATCAGGACCGGGAATCGGAGGGGTCTGATACGACACCCATTGCTTCCAGAAATCTGGTGTGAGAAAAGGATGACGTGTACATATATTATAGTCAACCAGGAGCAAGAACCAACTGGGGAGGCAGAGAGAAAGTTAAGTAGGCTGAAAATGCGTCACGAGAAGTCACGGACTGAACTGTGAAAATCAAAGCGGAAGTGCTGGGGGCGATGAAGAGGATGCAGAACGAGCAAGAAAAGGTGGAGGGAGACGGTCTCGGAAAGCCAGGGCTTCCAGCAGAGAGAGGCGCCTCAGGACCAGGAGAGACCAATCAGGCCCTTCACTTAGGTAAGAAGGGCAGCTGCCGACGGTTCATCACAGAACTGCTCAGCGGATCCGTGTGTTACCTACCTTATGTGCCTACCTAGTAAACAAACAAAAGAAAAGCAAGCAAATGAAAACACTATCTGTCTTTAAAATTGTTACTTGTCTGAAGCATCTATTAATATACTATCTTGCCTTTTTGGTTATAATTTCATACGTGATAGTAACAATGTCACTTGCTGTATTTTGTTTCTCAACTCCTCCCTTTAAGCACAGAAGCATCTGTATGGACAGACTCACTGACCGTGACTCAGATTTCAGGTCAAGACTACGCCAGCTGCTCACGTACAAAGTGCAGACTCTTCTAAGGACGGATAATTCACTTGTCTTGTCAGCTTCCACGTTTGTAAATCTTGACTGGAAACATTCCATCCCTTTGCTAGAAGACGACAAACTAAGCTCATCACTAACACCTGCCTTTCTGATTACTTTGGTATTTCGGGAGAACAGAACTAAACCACGGAGTACTGGGAATCGCCTAACTGAACAACAGTCTCTAAGGTAGGACATAATTCTAACTCTGTGCACTTAGCACTTCATTCAATTTGAAGTATCAGGGGTCATCATGAAGCAAGCAGCTCTACCACGTTTTCCCACCAGCACAGACCGCCTGCCCTCGCAGCTGTCAAACTCAAGGCAGCCTCCACACTGGGCGGGGTTCTCCACCTTGGGAGTCATTATACACATTATGATCCTGCCACGGGTCAGAATCCACAAAATAGAGCTCCCCCGCATGGATGTCTGAAAAATTAGCCAGAAATTCTTCAGGATCGAAGCCAACCCACACCGTGTACCTATAGTCTACTGTACGGATGGAATAGCCCATGATCTTGATATCTTTTAAGCTTGGTTTGTCAGAATTCCACTGAGGGGAGTCTGCAGGCCGAGGGTACTGGCTGTAGGCAATGGACTCGCGGGGACCACCACGGACGTACGCATCCTCCTCCAAGTCGGGAAACTGAAAATGCTTCAGAAGGTTCTGGCCTTCTCTGCAGAGCTCAACGTGAAAGGAGGGAACGGGGCAGCGGGGTGGAATGGGCAGCCCTGCAAGTCCAGCGAGCGTAGGGAAGAGAGACACTAGTTCCACGAGTTCCTCCACTTGCCTGCCTACAACAGGAAGCAATATGCAGAATCCATTATGTCACAGCGAGCAGAACAGAAGCAGCCTGTGGGCTCCGCATGTTTGCACATATTCTCTGACAACATTTCCTTTAGCCCAAGAATTTTAGAAGCAAAGCCAACGCAGCAACTCACCCTCCACCACCTACTCATCCCACAACAGGCTGCAAAACTACCGTGGCTCCGGCCTGCTGGCACTTTTTAAAACTACGTTCATTTCAGTACAACTGGTGTAAAAATTGACTGGGGCAAGGATCGTCAATGGATGCTAAGACACAGGAAACGAGATAGAGTCCCCATCGACTCCCTCTGGACTTCCACAGTTGAGCCATCAGTAAAGTCCAAAGCTTCTATCTGATGTTGATCCCTGGTCAAATGGATCTGGATTTTGGACCATCATTCTGACCTTTCTCGGTTTGCTTATACTGCTTGATCGTGCTTTCCTGACACTTGGTTTATAAGTGAAGTTAAAAAAAAATGAAAAAAGTTTTAAAAAAGGTATCTTTACAATGTCAAGAATCTGGTTGAGACCATGTGACCAACTTATCACTAATAATGTGACCAAGTGCCATGAAGTGGCCCTTGATGTGATGCAACAGGAGGACATCAAGTCCCAAATGTGCATCCTGACTCGGGTCATGAAGAAACAATCAGACACATCCAGGAAGTGCAGGATCCTGTACAAGGCAACAGGCCTGAACCCTTCTCTAAGATGAGGTCAGAGATGATGGGGGCCCGATCCTGTAAGCCCAGTCGGCCACTGTAAGAACTCGACCTCAGAGTGAGATGGGGGACCCGCTGGAGACTCCAGAGCAGGGCAATGACGTCACCTGACTCGGGCTTTCCACGGATCACTTTCGTTGCTGTGAGGTGGCAACACTACAGGAGCAGGGGCGCAGCAAGGAGACCACATAGCAAGCTGTAAGCCAGTGAGGTGGTGGCAGCCTGGTCCAAGGCAGTTAGAGCAGTCAGATTACGCCAGATGCTACAGTGATGCTCCCTACTCTCGCCTTAGACTGAGCACACTTCGCTCACTTCTGGACGAGTTTCTAGAGAACAGCACACAGGAGGAGCTGGCCAGCAGCCACATGGCCCCAGCTCATCACCAGCATGGCCAACAGCACTTCCTGCCACGACGGCAGTGTTCTAGCACTGTGCTGTAACCATCAGCCACATGTGGCAAGCGTACACTTGAACTGTGGGAAGGGCAACTGACATCTCTCTTTGAGTTTCCACCTAATTTTAATGAACTGAAATTGATCTCTGCAATAAATGGGGCCGGGTAAACCAGATCGCCACACGTAGACTGGTGAAGCTGTGCCCGTACCTTGCACCATATACAAAAGTCAACTCAAAAATGATGAAGGACTTATATTTAAGAGCTAAGACCATAAATCTTTTAAAAGAAACCATGTTGTTGTTGTTGTTGTTATGTGCCATCGAGTCGGCCCCGACTCATAGAGACCCCTCCTTGGGTTTCCGAGGCAGTATCACTACGGAAGTAGATTGCCCAACCTTCCTTCCGAGGAGTGGCTGGTGGGTTTGAACCGCCAACCTTCTGGTTAGCAGTGAAGTGCCTTAGGCACCATAGGAAGGAGTAAACCTTGGTGACACTGGGCTAAGCAATGGGTGTTTTAGATAGGACACCAAAAGCACAAGCAACAAGAGAAAAAAATAAACAAATGGGACACCATCAAAATGACACTGGGCCACAGGGTGGACTGTGTGATGCTCTGGTCTATGATTCTGTTATTGTTCTGGTGGTGGTAGCTGTTGTCTGCTGTCAAGTCAATTCCAACTCATAGTGACCCTATAGGAAAGGGTAGAACTGTCCCACAGGGTTTCCAAGGCTGTAATCTTTACAGAAACAGATTGCCACATCTTTCGTCCTGTGGAGCAGCTGGTAGGTTCAAACCACCCACCTTTTGGTTAGCAGCCAAGCGCTCAAGCAACTATTTCACCTCAGCATATTTTATACCTGGCTCCATCAATTCTGAAATGGGATCAAAAGGATCGATGTAAGGAAAAAGCTGCTTCCCCGCCTCCGGAAGCACAGCCGTCCTTCCGGGAACATAGAACATCAGAGGCACGCGAGTAGTGACATCAAAGTTGCTGTATTTGGCCCATTCTCCATGCTCACCAAGAGACCATCCTGGTAGAGAAAAAGCACAGAACAACAGAAAATGAAGAATCACATCCCAGCATGTTAGACATCATTTCATTTCCTGCTATAAAAACCAGAGGAAGTGGAAACTGATCACTTAGAACAAATTCCTTTAGAATCACCCCAGAAAAGGGTGATGGCACACAAAGACCACTTTACTCCGCGTCAACATACGGACAAGGACGAGACAGAACCTTCAAAACAACTAAAAGGTAAAGTGCAAAACTACAGTATCCTCTTTTGATAAGAAACTAGCACCATGCATCCACCTTGAGCTCCAGAGGCCCCGTGGTTCCCACGCAGACACCCTCCCCTGTGCAGACTGGCTCAGGTTGATTGAAGAAGTCAAATTCACATTACAGTTGCTGTTAGGTGCCAGCGAGTTGGTTCCAACTCATAGTGACCCCGTGTACAACAGAATGAAACACTGCCTGGTCCCACGCCATCCTCACAAATCACTACGATGCCTTAGCCCATCATTGCAGCCACTGTATCGATCCATCTCATTGAGGGCCTTCCCCTTTTTCTCTGACTCTCCACTTTACCAAGCATGAGATCCCTCTCCAGGGACTGATCCCTTCTGACAACATGACCAAAGTACCAGAGATGAAGTCTAGCCAGTCTCCCTTCTAAGGTGCATTCTGGCTGTACTCCTTCCAAGACAGTTTGTTCATTCTTCTGACGGTCCCTGGTACATTCAACGTTCTTCATCAACACCACAATTCAAATGAATTCTCCCGTGGTCTTCCTTATTCATTATCCAGCTCTCACATGTATACAAAGCTACTGAAAATACCGTGGCTTGGGTCAGGCACATCTTAGTCTTCAAAGTGAACTCTTTGCTCTTTACCACTGTAAAGTGGTCTTTTGCAGCAAATTTGCCCAATGTAATACATCATTTGATGTCTTGACTACTGCCTCCACGGGCCTTGATGGTAGATCCAAGTGAAATGAAACCCCTGACAACTTCCATCTTGTCTCCATTTATCATGATGCTGCTTCTTGGTCCAGTTGTGAGGGTTTTGGATCTCTTTATGTGGAAGTGTAATCCACACTCAAAAAACAAACTCATGCTGTTGATTCCAACTTGTAGCTACATCACAGACAGAAAAACAGAACTTTTAGTCCCACATCCTTAACCCTGATTTAAAACATCTGTTGCAAAACTAGCTTGACTACTCCAAGTGGTCCATTCCCAATGGTTTTAGTTGAGCACTCTTTTTCATATAAAAATATGCATGACAAAGATTATAGGTTTAGTGGTTAGTGTTCCCAAAAAACACAAAGCAGCTGCCATGGCTTCAAGACAACTTTTAAATCAATGTGTGTTTTACTTCTGACAACCGTATTTACTGACATTTCAAATAGGATGGTACAAAGCCACCACCGTCTGTCAGTATGTCGTACTGGGGTGGCTTGCATGTTACTAAGATGCTTGAAGCTATGCCACCAGTATTTCAAACACCAGCAGGCTCACCCATGGTGAAGAGGTTTCAATGGTGCTTCCAGACTAAGACTAAGACGAAGATGGACTAGGGAGAAAGGCCCGGTGATCGACTTGTGAAAATCAGCCGCTGCAAACCTATGGACCCACACAGACCACCGCCTGACAGAGGGCTAGAAGACGAGTCCCCAAGGCGGGAGGCACACAGTGGCTGCAAACACGGACTTGAGCACACCAACAACCGTGAGGCTGGCGCAGAGCCAAGTAGCGTTTTGTTCTGTCGTACATAAGGTCGCCATGAGTTGGGGCCAAGGCCACAGCATCTCCGGTCCCCAGAACAGAGCTGGAACCTCTTCTGAGTCAACAGCACTCTTCTGAGAAGGACCACAGTGGAAAGGTATGTCTTATCAGTTATCAAACAGAGCAGGTCCCTCACTGTCAAAGAAAAAAGTGTACTAGGCAATGGTAAAACAGGCAAGGATGACTTTTGACTGAAAAGGAAGCTGTGAGAGAGGGCACAGAGCTAAGGTCAAGGCCAAGGAGCACTGCAGAGGGGAGGGCAAAGCACCAGAACTGTGTCTGAAGCCCACTCCACTGACACTCGGGCCTGCCCCGGGGAGCTGGGCAGTGGTGCACTGAAGCTGCAGTTAGGGCCAGTTTGCGTGGAACATTTTCTCTTTGTGACAAGGCTACCTGGGTCCTGGGAGACCCAGGAGAAAGGAGAGGGTGATAAGGAGGAGAAAATGAAGTTACTCAAACAGAGCAAACCATTCAGTCTTGGTCAGGTCCTTGCGATAAGCCCTGCCATTTTCTAGACCATAAGAGGATGGGAGGAGTTCTCTAACAAAAGCTCAGGTGAAATTCCACTTGATCCGAACCGATATGCAGAGACCTCCCTCGACCCAGTGGCCATCACTGTTGGAAAATCAGGAAGGATCTTCATATAATTTGGATGAACTCAGTTCCACTTGTAGAAAAAGTAGGATACAGCCTTAAGAAAGATGAAGAGTTGAGAACCCCAAGCTCTTGACAGAGAGGCAAGCAGGGACGAGGGTCCTGCCTGGATTGTTCTGGATCTTTCAAGAAAAAAATAAAAATCTTCTGACCCTCTGGCCTAGAAGTAGGGGTTAGAAGAGCTCCTCGCACATATGGAGAGTCCCCGCTGAGGTCACCAAGTAAAAAAACAGCTGCTGCAAGTTCCCCACCACCCACTCACCACCACCACCCAAGCACCCAAGATCCTCCTCAGACCCAAAAGAGGCTCTGCCTCCATCTCAAGGTCCCAGGCCACAAGTGGCCCCTGGGCAGTGCCGACTCACAGGAGAGCGTGCTCCTCTGTGTAAACTATGTGAAAAACAGCACATTTTACCGCAAGGTTCAGACACTCTAAGCGACTTTCCAAGGCATTATCCAAAATGCTCACCAT